CGTTGCAACAATCAGACAGTGTGATTAACTAACATCCTGCAGTTTATTACACACAGGGACTTTTGCATGAGGAGTTTTAGTGACTAAAGGTGAAAATTCTACAATAATTGCATCATCTCCCCTCTGAAAACACAGATTAGAAAACTTTAGATCAGTGTGAATCACTTCTTTGTTCATGGCTGAGTGTGTTCGCGAGGGCTGAGATTTCCTGACACATGTATAACTGAGATCATCTTCTTTCAGTACTGTGAAAGAGTACTTTTATTTATGATATTTATTATTGTGACACCGATACCCAAGCATGCATTTGTGGCTGGTGTCAAATCAGAGTGATTTTGATCTCATAGTGCACTATATATTTAGTATAACTTTACATGATCTGAAGCAGTTCATGAGTTAATTCATATTTAAACAACAGGATGAACTCAAATGTGCCTTTTCTTCTGGCTCTCTTTTCCTCAGTTCTTTCATCTTTCTGAACAGACTCAGTGGGAGGGATTGTTGGCAGAGGAATTGTGGGTAAGTAGATCTGTGATGACTTGACACTGTGAAGGAATTTTCTCGGCAGCTGGACTTCCTGCTGTTATTAAAGGGAGCTTTTGTTGCTGTATTGCTGGACTGTGTTCAGTCACTGTCAAGAGTTCATCTGAGAAGAACACAGTCCAAAATAATCCGTGCAGCACCACCGCAACCACAAAACCCTCTTTGCCTGGGTCTGTTTTCACCATAAACATGCACCAGCCCATTAAAGATATTTTGTGTGTTTATATATAGAGCCAAATGTTCCAAATTAACAACAGCATCAATATGTCCCTCCCTCTCTGAAATTTTAGAGTATTTTGAATGTGTCTCTTTCCTAGATTACTCCCATCCTGATCTTTGACCTGGCAGAATGTTGTCAAGGTTCTTTTTTAAATTTTGAAAGCCAAACCCCCTCCAGCAATGTTTATGATGAGCTCTAATTAGTTTGTTGTTGATATATTTAGTAATGTTGAGCACACATTACTTACAGCTGCTGTGTGTCATTTCTGCAGCACTAGTGGCACCAGAGCTGTTCCACTCTGTAAAACCTAAAAATGTCTTTAAAATGTTTTACACCTTACTCAATGTACAACAGTTTGTAGAAATTGTGTATTTGTAGTCATTTGTATTGTAGTCATATAGTATACCTGAGTGATTCAGAAAACCTTAAAGATAAATTACGTTCTTTAAAAAAATGTTTAAGTTTTAAGTATGATAACTATTTTATATACTACTGTTGTTGCGTCACAGAATGTAGTTTTAAGAGTTTTTTTTTTTTTCAGGCGAGAATGTACTTGGACTTTATGTGTGGTTTGCTAAAAAAAAAAAAAAAAAAGATAGCGCCTATTTGAAAAATTGCTTCAGTGTTTTCAGAGATGTGAGCTCCAGGGTGTCAGCGGCCGTTCAGCGCTCATGAACCCGCTGAGAGCTGCCTCAATTCGGCCAGATCTTCTGGAATTTGCCGATGGCTCTGATTGGGCAGTTCTTTGGTCTCAGTAATCTATTATTTGTTCCAGAGCAAATAGTTCTGTCTGGGGGCAAAGTTTCATAACTTTATATATATTGTGTTTCGGTTAAAATGACACTGAAGCTTGGTTGGTCACAGTGATTATCAGATGCTCTGTGATTGATTGTTTGTTACATTCCTCACAATTCCATGTCAAACCATTTGGGAAACAGTATGAGGGTAACATCCCAGAATATCCTAAGCAGCTGCTTTATTACTGCCGCCATGGCGCTGAAGTCTGAGTCTGTGTGTCTAATGCACTTCACACTTTCACACACTCACACTTCTCTGAGTCTCAGCTCAGTGAACTCCGTGTTCGGCTCATACGGGCCTGTTTAGATGAGATTGTTTTTAAATCAAATGATATGTTTATTCACTCTCTGTGTGACATTAATACAGTTGTTTCCACAGACTTTAATCTGTCCTCCAGATGCTGTTCACTACAGGACTCTAAAATTCCACACTTATCAGAGACAAAACTGAATTTTACTTGCTCTTTTGACAATACTGATAGATGTACTATGAAGACATATCATTCACAGTGTAAAACTTTAATTAAAATTGTAAAGCTCACTGAAGAAAAAAAAACATCATGACTGAAGGATTACCCATAATCCCTTGAATTTGAATTTTGTGTGCTTGGACACAGCATGGGGAATTATGCTTTTGGATAAAGCATAGGGAATTATGAGGATGTGTATGTCCCCCCCCCACACACACATATAAGCAGTTTGAAAAAAAAGGTAATTTTGACTTTTTATTTCCCACTTCTAAAAGTAGTTTATATCTCACAAGGTTAACTACTGTCTCCAAATAGCTATTTAGGTATTGGTTACCATTTATGTATGTAGGTGTGTATGTATGTATGTTTGTATTTATTTTTTACATGACATTAGTCTTTAAAGAAATTAGTTTTCAGTTTCAGCAGGGGAGTCAGTTATTACATTATGATGAAATATTATTAAGGTAGATACTTTTTCTGGACTAAGGTGCACAGATGAATGGTTCAGTATAAAATCAGAAACACATTAAAGTAAAAGATTTGATTTCGTGTTGACTTGAAGAAACAGGCTGTTTAATTTGAAAAGCTCAAAAGAGGTCGTGAAAAACTAAAATGCATTGTCACTACAGTGTAACATTTGTCATGGCAATTAAACACATTTAAATTGAACTGAGAAGTAATATGTAGATTATGGCCTCTTTAATCCACTTTATGATCCAAGTAGTGATCAAACATTAAAAAAATTAAAAAGAGGATTTTCTCTGATTTGCATTTCCTTCAGGAAAAGCTTCTTCTCTGATCCGTGTGTATTTCTGTCCTTCCTCCACATCTTCACTTTTCCACATGTCTGTATGTTTTGTTGGTCTGTTCTCTTTTTTTTTTGTTTTTTTTTGCTCTGTTTGGATTCTAATCACTCCTTCCATTGGACTCTCTTGGAAAAAGAAGGGGTTTCCATGGTAACGCCAGCTGAAGAGGAAAAGACGTCTTTTGTAAGGGTGCTGATGCAGTGTGTGTGTGTGTGTGTTGGGTGAACAGATGGACTTCCCTGCGTTTTCTTTTTGTGCTTGACAACAGTGTTTTTCCCTAGGGTTTCATGACCGAGAAAATGAAGCACACTTTTCTTTTTGTCTCTGCTGGATTTTTATTGCCATCTGTTAATTGTCTCAGGCTGAAATCTCACTGTGACCCTAATCAGGCCGACTGTAGTGAAACACCTTTGACCTCTGACCCCTGCCGATTTCCACATCTCCTACATCAGATCCTGACCCCGATCACCTGTTTGAAACCTGGTGAAAGTCTTTCATTTGTTGTCAAACCTCACAGCTGTGAAAACATGCTTGAGTTTTTGGCAAAGGAAGCAGAGATTTGAGAAGAACACAAAGTCTTTGTGGTTCTGAAAAAGAACAGTGTTTCATCGATCTTAGTTTAAATAAAATAGAGCTGAAAATGCAGATCACTGAACCAAGAGCCAAATCCTTTAACTGGACAAGGTTTTGAGGCCATTTAGACCACTGTAGAGAAAATAAACCTTATTCAGTGAAATATAACAGTGAAATAGAAGATTCATACGTTTATTGAAGTTCAGTTGTTCGTTAAGGCAAATCAAATCCTCAGGAGACTATTGCTCAATTTATTTCAAATTTCTTACTCTTTTAATGCTTTGTTAAGACAGTTTCTGGTTTTCACAGAATATTATGCAAACTATTTCATTTGCTAAGCTGGTAGGAAAACCTTTTATAGTTTTACATGAAACATTTAAAAAAATAGTGTAGCATTAATGTATGTATTTGC